ACTACGAGGGCAACGGTGGTCAAACACCTGATGCCAGCCTTCTCATATCTTCCACCTTCAATGGCCATATTTCCCAGTCATACAGTAGAACAGACCAGACTGCTGTGCAGTACACGCCACCCTTAATAGACAATCGGATATCACGGCGACGCCATAGGTGGCGTAAGCTGGCAAAACCCAGCCAAGCATTTTGCATTCGTGCACAGATTTCATCGACCACTAAGCTAGCCACCAGGGTAGGGCCGATCCTACTTCCCAGGTAAGTGAAGTGGTCAACACACTCAACCATTTCACTCTCCATTGTTAGCCGCGGTGGAGTACCGTTGAAGACTAATCCTCGAGAATAAATTTGCATTTGGGTGGTGAGAAACGCATCCGAAACATCCTCAAATTCCCACTCAAAGTGTTCAGAAGACTCTGCATCTTGTCAGCGTCTTCGCATAACACGGCTGACTATGTCATCTGCGTATTCTAGGCATAATGGAAATCCTCCTGCGATTAGGTCGTCTGTGTAATCAGGTGACCAGAAGGAGACCTCCATTAGAATATCTATGATAAAAATAACTAAGAATGGAGACAGTGGGCACCCTTCACGGACACCACTCGATGAGCAAAGCTCCTTGGATATCTCACCACAGGCTCTAACGCGCCCACAAGTACTCGAGTAGAGAGCCTTCAACAGGGTGATTTACTTAGTCAGCACGCCTTTCAGTGAGAGACATTGCCATAAGACTTCTCGATCAACGGAGTCGAATGCCACCTTCAGGTCGAGAAATACAGCTAGTGTTGGGCGTCGGTAAGCGTTTCTACGTTCCAGGACCTGGTGCAGTCTGAATATTTGGTCGATACACCCGCGGCCGGGTCTAGAGCCTGCTTGGTCTTCTCAGGCTTGCCGTTCCCGAGCTCCACTCAGGCGTCGAAGAATTATAGAACCTAGGATCTTATACACTATGTTCGTCAGGCTGATTCCTCTGTGGTTATCACAAAAGGACTTCTCGCCTTTCCTGAAGACTGGAATAATCAGTGATTTAGACCAGTCAGAAAGGGTCGTATTTGATTCCCATATACTAGCTAACACTTCCAGTAGCCTAAGAACACTCTACCACCATTCCTGTATACCTCGAGAGTTAGTCTGTCTGGTCCTGCTGCCCTTCCTCGTTACAAGTTACCCACAGCTTTCTCGATTTCAGCAAGTGTTGGGGGGCCTATCTTTATGTCCCATTCAGGACCCGACTGGATAGCGGGCAACGCAATGGTGGCTGGAGGTCAGTTAAAGTGTTCCTCGAAGTGTTCTGCCCATCGTTCCAGTCGTCTCCCCTGCGAGTGAATCGCAGATCCTTCCTTCCCCCCTACAGCCTGACTAACTGTTGCTGATCTTTTCCCCTCAGTCTCCTGAATAATGCTAAATAACTGTCTACTATTACCGATCGCGGCAGCCTTTTACATCTCTTTAGCCTTCACTGCCCACCACTGTTCGCGGTCATTGCGTAGACTTTTTCTCAATCTACTTGTAAGTCGTGCTCGTTCTTCATTGTTCCCAGAGCCTGTAGGGATACATGCATTAGTTCGGAAGAAGCTGCTGCCCTAGTGCTTAATGCTATGCCTACACCCGCAAAACCGCGAGAGCTGGCCAACGAATCTCCAAAACCTAGAAGGGTGAATTTCGCCGATTCATCAGATTGGCCGAGAGTGGTCAGGTGAATCACTTAAGTCCTGTACGTGAGTCTCACAAACACAGCACACATCCATGCCCTGAGTTGCTAGTCTTCGCCAACGGAGCCTGTTGACCAATTTCGCGGAGGCTGTGAACATTGAAGACCCTGATGTGCGATTTGGATCTTAGTTTAAGGAGATCAAGGATGCTGCTCTATGGATTCAGATCGTTGTGGAGAACTGCAGAGCTAGGAAAAATGGAAAATGATGTAGTACTATTAGTTGACAGACGTGGAAGAAGGTTAGAAAGCAATGATGGGGAGATGCATTGGAGTCTGAGGAAACTTGAGTGCTGACAGAGTTGTGAGGGTGGTTGACACTACCCGGTTACCCACACCATGGAAGACTATTACTTCCTAGGGTACCTGAAAGAGATTTGCGTGACCACAGACCCTATCGGACATCTGCTTGAGGCCTGTCACATGCAGCCTTTTGTGTATGATTATTTTGAACTTTCGTTGTTTTGGAGCCGGATGGTCGAAAAGAAACGACAAATAAACCAACACCACCAGCCCGGCAGACCGTGGGGCATGGTGGAGTGTGTTAATTTTGGGGCCGACCTTTTCTAACACCCCCTCCCACTGATGGCAGCATCAGCATGGCACTGCTGGTCATCCAAGGGAAACACCTTACTGCTGTCACACCCCATCCAGCAAGCACCTGTACGACTTTGCCCTCAGACTCCCATCATAGTGTAGTAATTTACACCACAACGGTGACTGGTTTTCGTCTAACCACTATCCAACAGACCTTTCTGGTATGGTAGGACCTCGAGGGAACAAGTGTTCCACCAGCATAGCTTGTTGGGTCATTGTGATATGCAAGCCAGACCACCACGTCAAGGTAGCAGCTATCGTTCGGGGTATTCACACATTGTTTCAGTCATAATCGTCCTACAGAACTTAGTATTTTTTTCATTCCTTCTAGTTCTTTTTTCACGACATTCTTCCACTCTCTAACACTTTCTTAATTTTTTAATTTTTCATCTATGTATTTTCTCGCTTGATGTGTGGACTGTTACGCAGTGACATCAGGTCATATAGTGATTTTGTCTGTTTTGGTTAATGATAACAAGTCTAATTTCGTCTTTTCAGCCTTGATGGCTTATCAACGTTGAAAGTTTAATTCGCAGTAAACTTCAGGATCAAAATATGATCTAATAGAGTTGAATAAGTTGAGCATTGGGTAATTGTATTATCAATGAAATATATTTTATAAAATCCTAATGAAGTAGAAAAATAAATTTCTGACATTTCGCGACTTCCTGCTATCATGCTGTTTCCAGTGATCTTAGAATCAGTCATAATGCCAGCGTTTTTATTCACATTTTTATCGCTTACCAATATTACTGCCAAAAATAACCGTATGGTCTGCATCCTTGTTGTTATTGTGTAAAAAATAACGTCGATATTTCTTGTGCAAAGCTACGTATATTATAGTTCGAAAACTAATTCCTGAACAAGATTGTTAGCTTGCATATCTTGAAGTGCACATGTCTCCTAAGACTTTTCTTAGTGAATATTGGATGTTCTGAACAATTCAGTTCTCGTAGTGGAATCCAAGTAAGGGATTATTGGTCATTAAGTTTTGAAACTGGAATTCTAAATTTAAACAATTTTAATCTAACTAATGAAATTCAAATGGTCAGTAGTATATTTTGACATTGTAAAATTATTTCACATTGCAGTAGTTGGATTCATGGCACTGTAAAAAATCAATGAAATTTAGAATTAAAGTAAACTTCAATCTTTGTTCTACAACAGTGAAAAATAGTATCCGTGATTAACTGTCACATATATCATGTTCTATACATTTTCACAGCCCAAGCGACAACTATATTTGACACGTGCTTACTACCATTTTTGAGAAACAGTATTGACATTGAAACAGTCGCATTTCCTCAGTGTTCAAATGACTACATAGTAGTCCCTATGGTTTACATTAGGTAGAATGCATTACGCTTCACGTAGTTACACACATGTTTTTATTCAGAAATCAATTACCTTAGACAATATACAACCTTTCGGAAATCATATGAGAACCATTCACTTATAACCTCAAAATAATCCTTTGTACAGTAAATTGTTTTATAAAATCCTTTTCTTTTCCGAAGAAACTGCAATGAACTAGTCACATCTTTCAATCCAATATAAAGTTCCAGATTATAAGCGCTATGAAGAGTGAAACAACTGTCTGTGACACATATTTCCCATGTAATTACTCATTAATTATTTAAACTGTATTTTATAGGTCACTTCATAAATATCATGAACGTAGATACGCAAAATGATACGTTGTATTTTAAAGGAATAAGACTCGTTTTCTGATGTTTTAACAAAAGCCTGGATAATTGGAAGCCTTTGGATACAATTAGGTACTAGGGGCACTTATGAAATCACCGAAAATTATGTTATTTGGAAGTACGTAAGTGGGATTATTCTGATAATTCCTAACCAAAACCATGAATTAAAAACCTGAATACAAGTAGTCAGTAGCTCCCGCTAGAAAAGCCACATTTGCATGAGAAACTGGAAAGTTACCTAACACCAAAATAACGGATAGAAACTGAAGTTGGTTTTTCATGGAATCATCACTGGAGAGCCACTGAGAATGAACTCTGGTCATTGGCACTAGAAAATGAGAACATCTAGCTGTAAGCTGACATAAACTTTGAAGTATTGATCATTAAATTTTCATCTAGTCGCTTAACAGTAAATTTTTCACTCCCTGAACTGAAGGTTCTACCTCCTGTTTAGGCAGCAGTCGAAATTGCATAACACTGGTTGGTCGTTGGCTATAATCTGATAAATGTATATTTAACGCTCTCAGATTTGCAGTTCTTTTTTCATGTAACTGCAATCACTCAGAAAAGCAGCATTTAAACTCAAACCTGTGTAAGCTAAGGTTTCAATACAACTTCGTATTTTACTTATGACTTATAAGAAAGCTGCGAGCAAAATAATGCAATAATTGGGATGTGTTGGAGATGTTGCAGAGCATAACGACAGTCTTAGTGTAATAATAGACATTCCATTACTGTTGGGAATTAGCCACGAACAGAAATGTTCAGAAGTGACTTATCTCTCTGATATTCGAAAAGAAGTGGTTGTAAATCTCAAAGTTAAAGTGAATACGCTTCGTATTTTACGAGAATCTCTAGGTTGCCTTCAGTTATTGGACATTTTGGTCATCCATTTTACCTGAAGTACTAACTTCTTTATGTATCTCATAGTTAGCTCTTTGAAAAACTGGAATACTTGAATACTGTATACGATTATTTATTTCAGATGAATCTGGAAGCCCTAGTAACGAGAAGGATGAGACTGAATACAAAGAACCTGAAAGTGGAAGGTAGTTGTGTATTCTACTTTATTTTCGCTTAAGATTATTATATTTTTACCCCTATACTCTTCTTAGATGTTACAGTCGAAGATATTTTTAATACTATACTCATCACACTGTCAAGACACAGTATTTACATAGAATTTTACAAATCTGTTTCACTTATATTCCATCTATCCAATGCTCAACTTATCCAACTCTATCAGGTCAAATTTTGATCCTGAAGTCTACAGTATTTGCATAGATAGCAATATCAAATGTATTGTATTTTTACCAACTGGTTGACTGCTTAGCCATTCATGTACATGTCATCATGGATACCTTATTTATAATATTTTTTCACCGATATTATACTTTGACTCAACAACAGGAGACAGTGGTAAATAGAAACTTATGTTAACCATACTGCTACACTATGTTAGATGTCATTTTATTTGATTAGGAGTATATGTGATCTTTCTGCTATTCCTCCCTGTTAGGAACATACCGACTGAAGTAGTCAAATGTATCTTTTATGCTACTAAGCTGTTCGAATAAATAAACCCATACTCGAATAGAAGAAACTAGTCAAAACCAATGCAATCTATTTCAGCAGTCTAGCAACATGTCAAATATAACTAATGACCCAAACTAACTGAATAGTGAACACTGATAGATTGTTACTGAAGAAATCACACACCCAGCAATACCATATGCAGAATGGTTATTGCTGTGACTGTTTATTTCCAAGTAGTGGAAATCGCAGTATTGCAGTTTCATCACTATCCATCAAAAATATATTACCTTAAGAGGCTACTGAGTCTAAGTATTTGTGTAACAGTTGGTGATCATGTTTCTAGACGCTTCAGCCTTACATGGCTCTTATGGCTTGAATAGCTAAGTAGTACTTTTCTTTAACTTCGCCACTGAGTGAGACAAGTTCCGACCTCCGAGAAGCTGAATTTGCCAGTCTTGTTGGTGAGTGACAACAAGTACACAAGGCTTGTATGGATCAGGGATTACTAATGACTTCAAACAGCTACTTGGCTAGCGGCTTGAAGTTGAAATGTTTGGCTATGTGGTCTTAATATTAACTTTTTCACAATAAACATAATGCCATGCATTATCAAAATCTCTCACTAATAGGGAAATGAGAAATTATGTATTATTTTCGCTTGATCTAAGTGAAATGTTATTGTGTACAAAACATGTGTCATAAAGAAAGGTCTGCTTCAATCCATATTTCAATATTAACCCTGTGACATCAACTGACCTCTACAATCTTAAAATTCACTAAGTCGCAGTGAAGACTATTTTTTTATTTCAAGAGTTTCCTTTGTGGATTGATATCACTTACACAATCAGTGAGAAGTACGCGACGCTTGGCAGCTGATGCCCCTAGCCCGAGACTCTTCAAGAGTGTACCCACGATCTAAAATAGGATTGGTCCCAGAGCCAATTCGTCTTGTGGTAAAACTGTTACCACTTTTCCATTAGTTTTGAATCCAATGAAAACAAGTTTCCTAATTTTGTCGATTGATGAGATAGTATGGTCATCATTCATACCTTTTGTCAGTGTTTGTCCTCGCACCCAACTAACTTCCTAAATTATAATATTTTTCGAACCGTAAACTCACAAACAAACATAGTGCCTTTTAAGTATGTGAAAAACAAAAAATCTAAGCAGTTAACCATCTACGTAATGATAAGATACATTTTAAAGGTGTACACTAGTTACCAGAAAAAAAACCATGTCGAAAACTAAGACCTAACATTTAGGTGAGGAAATTATAACTGGTGGATAAAGAAAGTGATAGATAGTAAGCAGATAAACAACCAAATGAAACAATATAGAACCTAGTAGGAAATTTTATCCGTACAACTTGTCAATCTTACCAGAAGAACAGGAAAAGGAAATAAACATGATTTGTCAAAGTATCGGTATCAGTTAGCCATGAAGCATTGCTTTTACATATTTATGAGCAAAATGCTTTGCAAATATAATGATATCTCCCTTTAAGTCATTCAGAAAGCTCAGTTTAGTGTTAGTGTCTTCACCTAAGAGGAAGGCGCATAGAATGCTACCAATAATCATAGAATAGATGCTTCATAGATAAAGTGTCTGATCAATTCATCTTTTTATCACTACTGTTGTGCTCACTGACACTGAAATAATCACTAAATGCGTGCATCTAAGAATATAACTGTAGTGCAGTGTGATAAATAAAGGATGAACTGCGAAGATGTGCTGACATCGTGAATTACTTAAAAGGATATTACTGAACCTCAACAATTAATAATACTTTAGATACAGTGGCCGGATATAGAATTATTTTAATTGAAAAGCTGCACAAAGATCATATAACAGTATTTGTGTGTACTAATCAGAGCCAAGATTGGGAAATAAATGACCATCTTCAGTTAGCTTTAAACGTAATGGAAACTACTGTATAAGTTTAATAAGCGCCAAGCTCATGATAAAGAAATCAATTAAACTGAATATTTAGTAGAATGAGAGGAATAGTTAGAGCAACCACAACGTAAAATGCAAGATACGCTAACTAAAATGATGTGATCGGAATACTGAACAGCCTTCTTTTTCATTAAAGATCAAGCTTGCTAGTGGTTTGTTGAGACTAATTCAGCCAAAGGAAGTTAGTTTTACAGAACATTATTTTGATCGGTTGAGTTAGACGAACCAACATACTGATACTACGTAGTAGTTATATTTTCGGCTGTACCACAACTTATTCCGACGGAAATACTCCTGACTTCCCGAACTGCTTGTCCTAGAAAAATGTCAACATGAATCGTTCACTCTGTATATGTGTTATTTATCTGATGAACAGGTCTAGTCATTTATCTTTTCCACATGTACACAAATCTGGTATGAGTTTGTTGACAGGATGTCGTTGACATAGTTTCAAGTGAAGAATCAAGGGAAGAAGGGATTAACTCCAAAACGTTAGGCAGATTGGGGCAAATGCTGCTTTGTCTAAACATAGCCAACGCACAGAATAAAGTAAATTATGTTAATATGAAAGATAACCTATTATTTAACAGCGAGTTACACAAAGCTAAAATTTCAATGATTCGGTCTTGAAATTTAGATTTCAACTGATTTTTTTAATAGGCAATATTTCAAACGGCCATTAATTGATTTTTTTCCGATTTAAGTAGATGAAAAATATTTTCTTTTCGTACTAAGCAGGTTAAAAAGATAATCATTTTTATTTTCTTCTCTCCAACCAGACCATCAGACTGTGAATTTAACATCCCATTTCATGACATAAAACTGGTTGAATGTCTACTGAAAGGCGAACGTAAAGCAATCTATAAGTAGGTTCTGTTTTATTTCTTCATTTTGGTATCATTTCAATTTGCATACGGTTTCTCTAAACTGTTATTGTAAACCGTATAGCTCTATTTGTCTCTTTCATTTTAGCACGGGCTTGAGAGCCATTTTATGACTTTTACACGTCAAAGTAATAAATCTCAATGAATTCCGTACTTTGAAAGCTATTGAGTATGACTTTCTCTACTATATCCGTGAACGGCATCGTATTGTAATGCGAATGACTGCGTAATTTGTATCCTTTCATATTTTTTCATGTTTACATGATATCGACGATCATTTTTCTGTCAGGCAGAGATTCAACACTGTTCAATGCTGCAAAAATGCATTCTTCAGTATTTATAAAAGTTATTGACGCTGGACATTAATATTGAATCACAAGTTTGGTTCATGAAGCCCAAGTAAAACCAGTAGACACAGGTTTGAACAGTTTAATGTTGAAATATCTTGCATGAGGACTACCTGACTGAGAATATGACAATATCATTTTCACCTTTACATTTTGCACTCTAATTTATGAAGCTGACTTCATCACATTAATACAATATAGTTTAACCATAAAAACAATTCTATGGAAAGTGAAAATATACCCAATTGATATAGTAATGTTAGGTAGTGGATAGCATTGGGATACATGATGTGCATTTTTTATAATTTGGGACTCGTCAGGTGGATGTACCTGCTTCCCAGTGAGTGATGTTGTCCCCACCAGGATTCGAACTCAGGACAGATCACTTCAAACACCACAGAGTTATCTGTCAGACCACCGAGCCATGATAGCCAGTTCCTGTGTAATGGCTATAGTTTTAGTGCTATTGCTTGTATTATACTACCTGTGCTAATCTTAAAAACGAGGTTCCTGAAAATATACGTAGAACCTTTTTTGTTGCTTTATCGGAACTAATTTGGTCACTACTAAATCATTTCTGAAAAAATGCTGCTAGCTCTGCCATACATTAAAGTAAAACATCCAATGGGCATTCGTTAGCTATGGAGAATGGTGAAGAAACTCTTCTTTATAAGGCGTTTGTCTCGAAAGGTTTCTTAAGCTGAGTTCTATTTATCCAGAACTGGTCGAACAAAACATGCATCCATTGCTCCCAGCTTTTCAGTGGTTCTGATGTCAATCTGTGACAAAAGCTACTCTGAAGTCAACCAATTCCTTCAACCAAAGAGTAGGGCTGCCGCGGCAGTCCAAAAACACTTGATTTCTGGTCGATGGGTCGTGGGTCCGAACCCAATTCCACCTACCGAGGTTTGGGTACCATTGGCTTTCAAAAATAAGTGTGACTGATTATCTGCTTCATGAATGGGTGCAATGTTGCTGAGCGGCTTTTGATTTCTCTAAGAAAGCAATAATCAATCTACTGAGAAACTGGTTTTCCATTTTACATGTATGACCAAGAAAGAATGACAACTTTGACAAAATAACAATGAAATCCTAGACTTTCAGTTAAAGTTGAGGATTACTTATATTGTATGATGAAGATATCAGCCTGACAGATAATACTGTACTAATAAATTTACTTCGACAGATAAGTGAAAAATAGAAAGTATGAAACGTTCAAAAATAGAGCTGCTGAATGATCAATATTTTAGTTTCGAGATTCATACTTTGAACTGTTAATGCGTTCATTTTTGCATAGTACTGTTAGTAAGAATTCTATACTTGATAACTTTAATTGTGATGAACAGTGTGCATAATGTAAATCTATAAAGAAATGTTGGTCTCTCAAACCAAGTTTTATGAAAAGCGTGCGAAGAAATATTTCGCCACTATTTAAACTAAACCCAGATTTTTTGGATTACATTATCAGTATGACTGAAACCTAGCCACCAACTATACTAATAACCGCTTGAAATACAAAGACAAAGTAAAGATAACGGAGCCTATCAACCCTTGAACCAAAAAAACTTTTTAACAACTACTTACCCCTATGAAAGTGTAGTATTGTGATTTGATGATTTCAAAGTGAACAATTGTAACAACTACTACGCACACTAATTAATACTAGACTTCCATTAACTCTAAATCTTCAGCAGTTACTACCCCTTTTTACTATGCATAACTATCTGGCGATTACGTTGGGTTCATCGAACTGTCTCAATCGTTTTCCCTGAGTTACCAATGAAGAGATGATCAAATCAGTAAAGATATTATGAATCTATGCATCTACTCATTATAATGGAGTAAATGTTAAAGCTTGTATTATCACGTCCATGTTAGAAAGCAACTGACAACACCTATAACACAAGCTGTATAAGCAGAAAAATTGATCAAGCAACAACTCCATTTTAGAGCTTCCTTTCTAACTGGTCATGTGACCCCGACAGATTTTTCATTGGATATCTCCAACCATATGAACTGAAAAATACCAAGGAGACCCTGAATGATATTCGGTATATTTTTGAATGCACCTTCTACAGTTTTGCACAAATAAAATCATGCTCCCCTATTTAACATTAGTTCATAAAGTTGCTAATCGTTGATCTAAGCTGTGTAGCGAAGTACATGTTGCTTAACTGAGGTCATAAAAATCTTTGGAATCACGAATTAAAGAGAGGGAGTCTATGTAACAGGCTTGAAAATCAGTTACATTGGTGCATATGTACTTACTCATCATGTTCAAAATTTTGAATAATGTATTAGCCATTACATTTCTGTTCTCTTCTCTTAAATCTCTTTCGTTGTATTTTTAGAAATTCTGAGAAGTTGAACTGCCGAGCTTCATGCCAGCTTTTAAATTTCTTTTTCTGCTCCTCAGTATTCCAGACATTCTATTTTGATTGACTTAGTAGTGTGTTTATTTACCCTAAATGAAAATCTAAGATAGGTAGATGGGGGTCGACCACTGAATCTTTGTTCCCCGAATCAACACTTAATGCACGTAGTAGGAAGGATTCGACACCATTCTGAGATATGTGGAGAATTCTACCGCAATAAAATCATAAAGTGAAAACTTAAAAAACGTTGTAACTTGCTTGTTGGTGGCTAGTAGTGGAATCCAGGATACCCATCTTGTCCTAGCCATCACTAATCAAGTGAAAAAAATGAATCTTCATGCAGTATCGAGATTTCCCCCTCTCACCCACCGAGAAGACGGAATACCAACAATAACAATGGGATATTACAGATATCAACTAATAATAGAACTACAAAAACCAAGCCGTCACGTTATATGGTCTTCGTGATATGACAATGAGGAGAACATTTTGCTACCAACGTCATCCAGCAATTGATATCTGATCTCTGTGTTGTATCAGACAGACCGATATAATGTGGAACTTCACTAAACTTCCCTGCCCATGTCCCACACTTATATGGAAATGATCTAGAAATTCGCTGAGATTACCGGCCCATTATTACACTTAAACAACTCACGGTCGATATTCCTGTTAATTTAGTAGGTAAAATATTTGGTTGTCACACAACATATCTCGAGTGATCAAGCAAATGATCAGATTTTGATTGGCTGATCACTCAACAAACTGGGAGAGTTTCCCCTAGCATTTTTTACAGGACGAAGAAACTTTGCATTAGAATAATATGGATTTGTTTACTTTGGTGGTTCTTTTCAGTTACTAACGATCAGATTGAAAGGTAGAAGTTGTGGAAACGTAAGGCATCGCAAATAAAGGATAGTCATGACTAAAAAGAAGATTTTAAAGTCGTCGAAATTCTCCAAAAGGTTGACTGCTTGCAAAATGACTGAGGAAGTAATCGACAGAAGTGAAGGTAAGGAAGACGAGGATCCATGATTTAAACTGTTGGATATCATTCTGCTTCATTTATTCTTTCTACTCTATTCGCATTAAAATAAGCGAAGGGATGATTTATGTTATGGAACTCAATTTAAGGAAGGATTCAATTCAACAGCCTGATTTAGTGAGTTGTAAAACTGCAGTAGACTGACCTACAAAACAAAGCTGCTGATAAAGTTTCAGGTACATTTCTGTCACAAACGGTTTCACTTGCCTATCATCACAGGGGGTATATATTTACCTATTTTTATCCATTTCACTACTTCAGGTAAAACCGAGTGAACAAATAGGGGCTGTGGCTGAGTGAGCAGACATCCAAGTCGATAACCTATAGACCATTAGTTTGAATCTTACCAAACTCTGGTTTTATTTCAGAATCATTCACCATCTCATATTAACTGGTTTACCATAGTTAAAAAGATAAATTCATTAACTGATCTGTTTTTGATAAATGGGTACTGTCATGAACTTTATGAATGAGTAAAACACACTGAATTTTACTGCTAGTAGTAGTATAAGTCATAGTCCAAGTACTCTATAAAAGTATAGTTATATATTATTATACATAATGGACTTATAAACTCCGTTCTCAGTGATTCTATGAAACGAAACCTTTCATTTTTAAGTTGTTCACCTCCGAAAGTAAAAACGCACACAACTCATATTTAATCAACCCTATACTTCACCATAATCATCTTCACCATCATTATCAACAAAGGACCAGATATATCTACGTAATGGTCTGAGTTACCACACATTATATCAGCCCACCAAGTAAAAAACAATAAGACGAAGCACATAGAGAAGGATAGGTAAAAAGCATTAGAAAGCAGAGAAAGAGAGCGGAAAGGGGTGAGAAAACACTGGATTCAGTATGACAGTTAAAATGAAGATAATGTGTGAATATATTTGCGCTAAACTCGCTAGTTTACTAGTTCGCTAGTTACTAGCCAGTCCTAAACACGCATAAAGAGAAAAGGTTGGCCATAGGGCTAGCAACCCTACACCGTAAAAAATCCAATCACAAAAAAACCTCAAAGCACAAAGAAAATATAAAACATAAAAATAAACTTATTCCTCGCCACAATCAGAGAGACGAGATGATGCCAGTTGGCGAAAGCCTTCAGGAAGCCAGTCGATCGATATGTTTTATCGCTCTCGATGAATGCAAACGTAAACATAGGGAAATGGAATGTTCGCACAATGTTCGAAGCTGCCTGGT